GCCTACAGAGGCCATTCTTTTTCAAGCCACCATAGAGATTAAATTCTATAGGGTTAGAGCTACTCTAAATAGAGCCTAACAAAAATAATAAAGGGATGAAGCAGACCCTTGAGTGACCCTGGCTGATACAAGATGAAAACAAAACAAAACAAAACAAAACAAAAACATTGCTAACTCAAACCGACTCAGATTCCTAACAGGTAAGTAGAATGAATGATACTGCCTTAAGCATCTAAGTCGTAGATTTGCTGTGTGTGATAGTTAGTGTTGTCAGTTTGATAGGATCTGGAATCACCTTGGAATTGCCTCTGAGGGATTATGTTGCCAAGTTATTAAGTGAGAATACCCATCCTAAAAGTGGGCAGAGCCACTCCCTGTGCTTGGGTCCTGGAGAGAATGAAAAGGAGAAAATGAATTGAGCTCAGGTAATCATTGCTTTTGGCTTCCTTCATGTGTTTGTAATGAAACCAACTGCTTCAAGCTCCCACAAAGGTGATAATACCTGTGGCCATGATAAAATATTCTGACAAAGGCAACTGAAGAGACAAAGAGAGAAATTGGATTTTTTTTTTAACTCTTTGAGGGCCCACCACCCAGCTCCCAAATAAATACAAGAAGACTTATGAATGCCCAGCCTTAGCTTGGCTTTTCTTAAATTATCCCATCTACCTTTTGCCACTGGGCCTTTACCTTTCTCTATTCTCTTCCTTTCTTTCCTTCTTACTCAGTGGCCGGCAGTGTGACTAGGTGGCTGGTCCCTGGCGTCCTCTCTTCTTTTTTCTCCTTCTTCTCTTACTTTTCTCTTATTCTCTCTGCATTCCAGGCCTGCCCATTTCTTTCTCCTGTCTAGCTATTGGCTGTTCAGCTCTTTTTTAAACCAATCAGAGTTCTATACAGGCAAAGTAACACAGCTTCAGAGTTAAACAAATGCAACATAAAAGAACACAATACATCTTTGTATCATTAAACAAATATTCTACAACATAAACAAATGCAACAAACCTTAAACTAATATTCCACAACCAAAGGGTTTATTTGGGCTCATAGTTGGGGCTGGTCAGGATAGCAGAACTCTGGGCTTCTGGTTAGATTGTATCCATAGTATCCAAGCAGAGGATCAGCTCACCCTCTCTTTATTCAGTCTAGGACCTCAGCCCAGGGAACTCTCCATCTTCTCTTATTCACTCTAGAAACTCCCTCGCAGGTGTTCCCAGAGGCTTGTCACCTGTGAGATACTAGATCCTATCAGGTTCACACAATATTAATCCTGATAAATTTTTATAATGAAATTAAATACCTAATGACGTGCCAAGTATTCAAAAAAAATGTTCTTGTGTTCGAAACTAATGGTTTTCAAGAACTGTTGTGTTGCAGTCTCTGAGACCCCTGATCTCCTTGATGCTCACACTGGCTTATCTTATCTAGTAGCTGCCCTTTCATGTTGGCTCCTTTGTCCTTTGAACATTATTCTAGGTGTCTTTGGTGGTGTTTTTCTCATGCAAGAATATTTCTCAGGTAATTTTATTTTCTGCACACTAGGAATTTATTGATCCTAAAGAATTCTTCATTTCACTGAAATTACAAAGGCCATGGTCTAGACATTAGACATTCCCCCATGCTGCCTCTAGCTTTACTGAAGTATAATTGACAAACAGAAATCCATGATTGTAACTAGCTTTCCTCATCCATTTTAAAATCTTTTGGGATGTATCTTAAAACTTGATAGCAAGTGATAATTGGCTACAATTTTTAGTCCTATCCACTTTAGCTATTATCTTTTCCATTTCATGTAGCTATATTTCATCTGTGATGTATTAAGTGAAATTACATGAAGATTAGATCTAACTTTAGAGGGAATATAGATTAGGTTTTAATACTTTACAAAAATAGAATCATTTCAGCTTACTTTTATATGAAACACTTTCTTGCTATAAGTTTTAGTTATAATTTGCACAAACACAAAATAATATAGCACAATTCTTCCATGTGAAGCTGACTTTGAAAAGTCTTAATTGTATAAAGGCAAGGAATCAGCCCTAGTTGATATACACCATTTTTATCACAGCCTCAAACCTCCTTTGGACACATTACAATCAAAGCTCACACCTTTGCACCCCAACTCTGGTTTCACCCTTGCACCCCAACTCTGGTTTCAAAGTCTCAAGTACCCACTGAGTTGTCTTTTTGACTACCTTTACTAAAATTCCTCAGAAATACAAGCACAACGTTAAGTAATCAGTCCTTTGGCTTGTATAGCTCTCCATTTGTATACTTCAGGCCTCACCTGTTTGGAGAAAATAAGAAAAACAAATCAAACAAAAAACCCTGTGCAAGTAATTATATAGAACAGAATTTGTTTTCACCTTTCTTGGGTAAATGTCTGGGAATAGAATTGAGGGATCTTGCCTTGCTTCTTTGAGCCTTATACAGGAGTATTCTAGTTTAGTTTCAGGAGAGTCCATACTGGCAGGGGGGCTGTGGGCATGACAGTGGCTGGCTGACAGAGCAGGAAGCTTGAGTGATCATTTTCAAACATGAAGCTGTAAGTGGAATGATGTTATAAACTTTCAAAGTCAGCAGAGGTGATGTACTTCCTCCAACAAGGCTCCACACCTCCCTTTGTTCCATAATTTTACAAACATCACCAACCAGGGATTGAGTGTTTAGTATGTGAATCCAGGGGGCAGACTTCTCAAACTACCACTGATCCTATGGTAAGTCTGTATTTAATAAGAAGCTGCCCAATGCTCTTCTAAAGTGCCTGCACTATTTTTGTCCATTTACCAGCAATTATAAGAATTCTAGTTACTCCATGTCTTCAACAGCTGGTATCAGCAGTTTTGTTGGTTGGCACATGGTCTGAATACTCACAGGCGGTATGTATGGTGCCCTGATCCCTATTGTAGTTTATGAGGAGAGTGAAAATTAATATATGTTAGGGCCTTGAATAAGGTCATTGGGTGGAACCCCCATGACCACCTGGTGATTTGTAAAGGATACACACACACACACACACACACACACACACACACACACACACACACACAGCAAAAATTTCTCCTGCTTCTTTCTAGAACTTCTACTTTTGGCTTTTAAGTCTATCATCCATTTTTTTGTTTTGTTTTTCGAGACAGGGTTTCTTTGTGGCTTTGGAGGCTGTCCTGGAACTAGCTCTTGTAGGCTAGTCTGGAACTCACAGATAATTGCCTGCTTCCCGAGTGCTGGGATTGAAGGTGTGCCTCACCACCACCCGGCCTATCATCCATTTTTTAATCTGAACTTTGCACCAAAATTGGGAACCATGCATGAGCTTAAGCTCCTTCCCTGAAGGAACATTAATTGTTCCATTTGCTGAAAAGATTCTTTTCCTTATTGAATTACTTTGATACCTCTGTAAAATCAATTGTCCAAGTATGTGTGTTTCAATTTCTGGACTCCATTTTATCCAATGGTCCATAACAATTCTCAAAAGGGTTTGTCACATTCATTTTTTTTTTTAAGGTAGCACTGTGTGTCAGTGTTTAAAGATTTATCCATTATCTCCCACTGCAATTTAAGAAGTTTGTGTTCACTTTTAGCTTGGCTTCTGTGTATGGCATATCCATTCCCCAACCCTCTGCATTCCAGATGTTTTTGCAATACTGCCTGGTTTCAGATAACTTCATTGATATATCATGTGAGACTTTTAAAAATGCACTATCCCCTACACAATGATGTACATGCAACTAAAAAATGCTGAATGGGTGAAATAGTCTTCAAGAAAGAGCACATCAATTGGTTGTCCAATACCAAACGGTTAGCACTGAAAACATAAATACAAGTAATATGGACTGCAAGTAATAACAGTCAATGAAAAAAAGGCTGTGAATTTGAAAGAGAGCAAGGAGGGATATATGAGAGAGTTCAAAAGCAGGAAAGGAAAGGGAGAAACAATGTAATTACATCATAATATCAAAAATAAAAAATAATTTTAAAAATGTTACCCTGCTGGTTGAATTTCTTGGCTGTTGGTTTGTAGTTTTTATCAACTAGGAAAACCTTTAGCCATGTTTTACTTAACATGTTGTTTTTGTCTTCCTGGCCTAGCTTTAGGAGTTCAAAGTCAAGTGAGTAAGATTCTCTTCATGCAGTTGGCTGAACCTGTACTCCACTCCTGATTCTTTGTGTGCTCCTATGTGTAAGTTCCCTAATAAATGTTTAGTTCACATTTTAAATTTAAGTTAACATAACTTAAAAAGTACTGAGCTTCACTATGGCATTTTCGAATGCACACACATTATACTAGATTCATATTCATCTCTGTCCCCTGCCCCCCTCCCGTGCCCTCTCCAGCCTTCCTCTTTTCCCCCACTTAAGCCTCCCTTTCAGTTTCCTATCCTGTCTCCCCTCTTTTCGTACCCTCTCTAATTTCATGCTCTATGCCAATGCACACAATTTTAAATCTAGACTCTACATATAAAACATGCAATATTTGTCTGAGTCTAAACTATTTCACCAGACATACTGATCTCCAGTTCTATTCATTTGCTTGCAAATGTCACAAATTTATTCTTCTTTACAGGTGAGTAAGATCCCATTGTGTGTATGTACCACATTTTCTTCACATACTCCAGTTGTCCATGGACATCTAGGCTGGCTCCATTTCTTCACTGTTGTGGACAGTGTACAAACATGGATGCTCTATGGAGGTCAAGCTGCTATATTTCTATCCAGTCTTTCTATCTGGATACTGATTAAAATATGTCAGGCCACAGTGACTTAAAATCTTACAGAAACTTGGGACTGTTAATGTAGAGATATACAAGTAGTTTCAATAATTCATTATCTATAAAATTAGTCTGTGACATATATACATATACAACATTAGAAAGACACGGATGTAGTGCTGTAGTTTTGTGTTTACATATATACATACATAACATTAGAATAACACTAAACATGACACCAATGTGGTGCTGTAGTTCTGTCTTTTACTTTGACCTCCTATAAAGAACACCATAAACCTGTGGAAAATGCTTTATTGTATCATGTCAATATACTGCAAGGAATATTTCCAAATAATACAAAAGTAATCCACAGACTTAATTAAGTGAAAAATCAAATGATCCAGAAACATTTCTTCCTTAGTTTTTCACAGCGATTATTAAGAGTTCACATCCTGATTTGTTCCAAGAAAGATTATTCTAGTAACTTTGAGTGTTCAATCCGTGCAATAGTCCAGTCAGGCTTTACTCCTTGTGTAAATTCTCTCTGAAATCTAGGAAAAACATTATAAATATTGTGATCTTCCATCAACCCAAACATGCTCAGATAACTATAAAACTTGCAAGCATAAACTAAAAGCAGTATTTAGAAAGAAGCTAATCAAAAGGTTAATGGTAAGTCAATTCAAATGTTTACCATAACACTGAAGTACACTCTTAACACACATTTTTTGATGGTCTGATCTATATTCAACACTCGATAGCCCCTGAAAGCAACTTGTCTTGTTATTAAATACTCACTAAGGTACATGCCTAATATGAGCAGAAGGAAACTAGACTTTTTAAATATCAGCATACAGGAAAAGACTTTTGAACATCACACTGTTACCAATTTAGTGAAAAATTGTGGAATTTGGTTCAGTTCATATCCATTAAAACAGTCTTTAAAGTATCAGATTTTTTAAAAAAGATTTATTTTTAAGTGTGTGTGTGTGTGTGTGTGTGTGTGTGTAAGTATGTGGATGTAGGTGCTCACGGAGGCCAGAGACATCAGCTCTCTGTGAAGTGGATTACAGATGGTTGTGAGACCTAGGAACTGAACTTGGATTTTCTGCAAGAGCAGTATGTGCCCTTAACCAGTGAACCATATCCCCAGGCCCCAGTCTTAGTATTTCTGAAACATCCTGGTCTTATAAGGAATATTAGAAGAGACAAAATTTAGTACTGATGAGACAGATCTTAACTATAAACAGACATTTTAAAAGAGGCAATTAATAAATTTAAATTAAACAAGTATTTAATATCTAGATAATATTTTGGATAATTATAATCAAAGCATAAAAACAAAACAACAACAAACATTTCTCAGGCCAGACATGATAGCAAACTACTTTAATCCTAACACTCAGGAGACAGAAGTAGATCTGTGAGTTCTAGATCAGCCTGGTTTACATAGTAAGTTCCAGACTAGTTGAGAATACAGAGTAAGACCCTGTGTCAGAACAAACAAGCACACACAAACAGAAAACTTTTAGACTTTTGGCATTTGTTTTGTTACTTTAAAACAAATTTATAAATTAACTGGCAAATAACAGTAGTATTCTCTTATAAAGTGTGTCTCCACTGACATGTGTTAGCTGCTCACCTTTCCAAATATTATAAAATAATGTCTCTTCTAAGTCTCTTTAAGGGCAGACAGCTTCCCTTCACTTTAGCATCTGACCTGGAGTGTTTAGCATATGAGAGGTTATAAATAAATGTCTTATGAATGAATAATACCTATGCCAACTATGGCAGACTTGAATTTTCAAAGATGGGGGAATCTTATGTTTCATCCCATACATGCCTCTGCAATATTACTCTGCTATTTATTGTTTTTCAAAATGGGGGTTGGGGTGTCTCTAGACACCCTTTAAACTACAAATCCTGTGACTACTGACAGCAAAGTATAGCAAAATAATGTTGCTTTAGTTCTGTTTACGAGCCCATCAATTTTCAAGTTCTACCTCTCGGCATCCAGTCACCTGGCAAATGGTGTCACAAGTTAAACTAAAGCTTCAAGCCAAGCTGCAAAAGTCCTAGCAAAAGAGATGCCAGAAAGATGCCACACATGACAGATGTAGCAATTGTGGGAATGAATCCTCCTGTCCCTGAGACCTACCTGATGCAGGTGAGGCAGAGGAAGTTCCAGAGCTGAGCTTCTAGAAGTAACTAGTAAAGCAGGGAGTCACAGGCAAAGGCAATGTCTCTCTGAAGCCATTGACTGCAGGTTATTTTTTTCTTTTGAAACAGGGTCTCACTGTGTAGCCCTGGCTGGCCTGGAACTCACTGTGCAGACCACACTGGCTAGAGAGAGCCACATGCCTCTGCCTTCTGAGGGCTAGGATGAAAAGTTTAATCACCACGCCCAGTGAAATGCTACTACTTCCCACTTTTAACAATCCCATTTCATATTCTGTTTTTCTTCATAAAGAGCTTGTCAAATTTCAATCCTTTTCTTTCTAAAGCTCTTCAGTTTCCAAACTTTTACACTGCCTTCCATTTTCTAGACAATGAAGACAAAACGCACGCTCATACTCACTCGTAGCTTGCACTAAGCAAATGTTTACTTTCCACGCTCTGATCCCCCAACTTCACCTGGAACAAACTGGCTCCACTCAGAGACTCAGTGGGGATGTCGGCACTAGTCAGATACCAAAAGCACATCAGGATGTTAACGAACTTCCTTCCTTAGAGAGAAAACACACACAAACACACACACACACACAATCAGAACATCTATCAGCTACATAGCCATAACAAAATCAGAAACAGGCAGTATACTTGTCCCAGGTCAGCCTTTGTGCACACTCCAGTGTAACTTAAAATACATGAATTAATGCCATTTCTTTTCCAAAAATTGTCTTAGAGCTTGTCTTCTTTGTTAAACACATAGTTTACTGAGTATACCACGTGGGTTATTCTTAACTTACACCATTTCCTATGAATAAAACAATCTTAAGGCAAATACCTGCCCCCCCCCAACAAAAGAGAGAGGCCACACCTAAAATTTTGCCCCCACTTCAACTGTTCCAAAGAAAGGCCCTTGTTCTTTTACTCCGTTGTGCCTAAGTCGCACAATGTATGTGTAACTCAGTTAATAACTAGGGTGTAATTTGAAATGTTAGGGAAGAATAAAATATCATCCAAGACAACTTTGCAAATATTTCAAATTAACTTGCCTGTGAGTTCATCTATTAAAAGTCCTCTATTGTAATAGCCTTACAGGACCTCAGCAGAGGCTCCCTCTTATACACCTGCCTTGTAATGCATACATACAAAAATCTGTAAATGGACTGATTAATCGATGAACTCTTGGGTGTGCTACTGGAAAATTCATGTACTGGAAAAGGAAAAGAACCAAATAACCACCCAAGTTCCTTCCAGTTTATCACTGTTACCTAATTCAACTTGGGAGTTTTATAATCTTTTTTCTTATTTGCCTTTAACTGATACAGTTTTGGTTTTCTTTTATACTTTACTCCTTCCTTGTAATACACAACTAGAAATGTAAAATATTCAAGAGTTTCCTACACTTTAGGAAACAGGATATAGAAATATTTTTATTTGAAACATAGGAGCAGCCTCTTCTAAACAAATTATTTTCATCAACATATATGAGAATTTTCTCTCTCTCTCTCTCTCTCTTTTTTTTGTTTTTGAGATAGGGTCTCTCTATGTAATGCTGACTGTCCTTGAACTCGGAAATCCTCCTCTCTCTGGGGGGATGAAAGATGTGAGTCATCACAGCTGGCCTTGGATTTTCCTGTTGTATAGTAAACAGTAACCAGGCAGAGATCTAGCCAGGTACCAGCTTTCAGAGTTAGATATTTCAACAGCAAATATGGCATATTTTTTTTCTTTTTAAACTCATATTTTTAAATTTATTATGTATACTAAGTTGATTTTACAAACTAGAAAAGTGATACAGGCTTTGCAGGGCTACAAATATCTCCTCACACAGATGTGACTCCTCAATCCTGTGGTACTCACTGTTTTGGTTTACTTAATTAATGGTCATGTGAAGCTGCCTTGGCCAGCGTTACCTTTCTCATCATAGTAAATGGAGATGTCCCCTGTTGATGTGTAGACAATGTCATCTACCTCCGCAGCAAGTGCATTTTTATGGTTATCAGACAGTGAAGTGACCTTTTCTTTTAATACCTGTAGGACCTGAGTCAGAAAAAGAAAACAGCAGTTTACCCATTCAAGTTCTTAAAGTATTTTAAAAAGTGATGTTTATTATGGAATTTTCCAAGACCTATTTTTAAAATGTTGTACCTTATCTACTCATCCTCAAAAATAAAACTAAAAGTTATTCAACTAAGTAATTACTGATAGAACGTGAGACTATGTTTGTATCATTTTCTTGCAAGAATCATATACTTTTTAAATTTAAAGAACTCTTTACCTCTTTGGCTACAAGTTCTTCCAATAGATCAAATTTACACTGTGACAGCAACTTAGATACATGAGCAAAAGCCTTGAAAAAAACAGAGGGGTAAAGATTACAATTATTTCAAAAGACCATATAAAATACTATTACATACATACTTAAATGGTTAGTGTAACAAAGATTTGCTTTCTGGCAAATGGGATAATATTAAAAACTGTTTCAATAATGTTGGTCATGGCTGCTATTTTAAGTTGATTGACTTTTTACAGACAGTATGGTCACATATATAATTGCAAATGAGCCATCTACTAATTATGAATCCATTTTTACGTCCTGGAAAATGACAGTGTGTGGCATATGTATACTAGATGTCTCAAAAAATTTCTGTGCAATTTATTTTTAAATGATGATGTAAATAATTATGATTTACCTCTTAATCATTTATGGACAAGAATGAGAAAGTAGGACACTCCAGAGTCTGAACTGTACTGGAAGTTTAGATACCTGGATTATAGACAGAACCTCTGAAAGAGATATGAGGTAGGTTTAGGAAGTGGGAGAAAAGGAACTAGTTTATCATCTACAACAGTGAATCTCAACCTGAAGTATGAGGTCTTATTTTAAAGACAGGGAAGAGAAAGCCCAATTCTCTACATTCCCAGCAAAGAGGGAAAAAATTGGTATATCTTTATCCCGCTTGTTTTTCCGGAGTTTTCAGTCTGCTAAAGAGAAGACAAGTTCAAGAATTATTAGAGGGTAAGAACAGTGGGATCTAAGAAGCACACAGAGAGCCATCTACTCTAATCCTGGTGGAGCACAGAAGGCTCCCTAAAGGAAGTAACTGAGATCTGGAGAACTGGCTGGAGAAAGGAGATACATAGGTATGTGAGACAGAGAACACTGCAAATTATTACTGGTCCAACTGTCTTCTCTGTCATGCTTATGTTGAAGCCCAGAACTCTCCCTTGGAATGTGATTCCATTTGGAGACAACCCCTTTAAACAAGTGATTAAAGAAAACACTGAGGTGGTCAGTGTAGGTCCTAATCCAGTATCATTGGTATCTTTGTGACAGGAGGAAAGGCGTCAACATGCCAGACATAAATTCAGAGGCCTCAGGAGAAAGCAAAGCCTCTAATGTCTTGATAGTGAAATACTTCTGTTTAAGCTATTCTGTCTGTGGCTCTCTGCTATAATACAATGCAGATGACTTCTGAGAAAATTCACATATACAAATGGATTCAAGGTTTTCCTGAATACTAAAAAGGTAATCAGGGTCAGAGGTTTTACAATGTTTGGTAAGCTCTCACATGCAATATGAGTGACAATCTAGACAAAAGGAACTATAATCACTATGCAGAAACCTCATCTCTAGTTTGTGTGGTCAAGATCATACCTGAGAAAATTGCCCTAAAAATTAATAATTATAACAAGGTTTCCCTGGTAAGATTCCTGTGACATAGAAATGTCTACCTCAAGATACTTCTAGAAACAGCCTTCCTTTTCTCAGAAAACACTGAACAACTGTATAAGAAAGCTCTAAGAAACAGTACATGGCTCAATGGTAGTTAAGACGACAAAGTTATACGTACTGATGGCAAGGGGGAGCATTAGAGTATTTATTTCCTTATCTCATTATAAATATTTGCCTATATTATATGTATCCATTCCAACTGCTGATGACTGGAGGACCAAGGTTGCTTTTATTCTTAGAAATTTCTTTCTTCTTATTTTATGTGTATGAATACTTTGCCTGCATTTATGTCTGTGAACCATGTGGGCATAGTATACCTTCTGAGGCCAGAGGACAGGGTGAGACTCCCTGGAACCAGAGTTGCAGACACTTATGCACTACCATGTAGTACTGGGACCAGAATCTAGTACCTCTAGAAGAGCAGCCTGTGTTCTTTAACCATTGAGCTCTCTCTCCAGCACCAAGATTACTTTTGGACAGTGTGGTTTAAATTTAGCAAACTAACCTTTCTAAAACTTGACTTCATCATGCCTAAAAGAAGATTAGACAAGAAGCCCTTTCAATTTCATGTTCTATGATGATTTCCATTCCTGACACATGAATGAACTAGTGTACTTGTAGCTTTAGGGAGGGTGTCACGTAGGCCGGATTGGGATTTTTCACCTATTTTAGCAAACTAACCTTTCTAAAACTTGACTTCATCATGCCTAAAAGAAGATTAGACAAGAAGCCCTTTCAATTTCATGTTCTATGATGATTTCCATTCCTGACACATGAATGAACTAGTGTAGTCATGTACAGATGATGAGGTAGACTCACATCTGGGTACAGCAAAATGTAGGATCACACCAATATATCTCTACATGCACAGCTGACACAGAGAACACCAACCAGCAAATTTATCCTTCATCATGATATTGAGGTAGACATTATTACTCAAGATTTCTCCTCTTTATTTTTGTGCAAATACATGTACTAGCTGAGAGTTGACTCGAGGAAACAAATTAACACTGACACTGATGACAGGAAGTTGAAAACACAATTTTATAACTAACACATTATACAAGTTGTGTACAAATGGCTACAATTTGGGGGAAAACCTAAAATAAGTTGGGAGTAAAATTATAAACACCAGTATATAGTTAATTATAGTCAGTGCTATTAAATTATTATGCTGGCAGTCATAATTATTAAGCTTTAGCAAGATGAACTGGGGAATAAACTATGACTTTTACTGTTGTGTCAATCAATAGTTCTGAAATGGTAGGGACGGACAAAGAAAATTGAAGGGAAAATGAAAATAGCTTTCCATCCTAGAAAGATGCATGTACACACAAAGTCTGTAAACAATCTCAGGATTCAAAGTGACCACTCTAAGGCAACATCATTTGCCCTTGGGGAACCCTGGCAGTGTTTATTATTCCTCACCGTAATTTTATCCACTCAATTTACTTAACAAATACTTATGAAGCACCTACTATGTGGGCTGGGCTGTGTTCTCTAACTTTCTAATTCCGGAAAAAAACATACCCATAAAAAGGCTAAATAGCTTTAAAGTGGCAGGTACAAACAGGCTTTGAACTCACTACTTCTGACTCAAAGCCTGAAGTGAAAAATACAACTGGAAGGCCTTCACCCTAGCTTTTTTTAGTCGAACCCCTCCTTCTCGACGACCACGCAAACACACCTAGATGCTTGTTAATGTCAAGAAGCGGCTGGAAGACTCAGTGTCTGGGTCACTACCATCGTTTGTTAACTTGGATCGCAACGAAGAACTTCACAGCTAAACACCTGAGCATGCAAGAGCTGAAATGCATGAGGCGGACGGGGTAGGGAAGCAAACAAACCTGCTTCGCCCCCTCAGAGAACTCAGCGATATTGAACTCCTTGTCGAAATAGGCCCAGATAAGGAAGGCGTAAATTCGAGTCCGGACCCAGTTGATGGGGTTGGAGAACCCCAGGATGATCATTCTTGTCTTCTGGCGTTGCTGGGGCTGCTCCTCGGTGCTGTAGCTGCGGCTGGGAGCAGCGGGTAAGGAAGCGAGGGCTGGAGAAAGTTCTGCCGGGCGGAGCAGGGGCCTCCGGGGCCCCCAGGAACGCAGCGCCGGGCTTGTCCAGGCCCAAGCGCAGCGAGGGGCCGGGACCGCGCTTGCGCCCAGGCGGCGGCGACACAAGCAACAAAATTCAGTTGGCGACAGCCTCACCTCGGTGGCACCGAGAGTCCGGAGTCGGGTCGCCCGGCCAGGCAGAGGCAGGAGACGGGCGGCCAGCGCCATGTTCGTGACCTTTCACCTCTGCATGCCTGTGCAGTTCCGAAAGGAGGCCGGAGGGAAACCAGCTCGGCGGTGTCGGGGAAGTGGCGCAAAGGCCGCCTGCTGCTGCCACCTCTGGTGAATCTGCCCATCGCGGCTGTGACACAGTAGGTCCAGGCAGCTGCCACGGGCTTCCCGCCTCGCGCGAACTTCAATCCAGCCGCCTTCCCTCGTCCGTCACCTTCGCGGCCCTTTTCTCCCAGGGTTGTGTTTCCGGGAGGATTACTCGTGGACGAACACGTCCAATTTGCCAGGCCTGTGAAAACTAACCTGAGCCCACCATGGCGGAGCAGTGCCTTCCGGTGCCCCGGCTTCGGGGCGTCACGCGGGAGCATTTCATGGAGCATCTCTACCCACAGGTGGGGAGCCCCGCCGCGGGAAGCCAGCGGAGACACCTACTGGCACTCCGGTCACTCTGGGTGCCTTGCCGCTGGGGGACAGGGAGGAAGGGACTAGTAGACCGGCTTGGGAATTAAAAGCCCTGGAGAAAACGGCCCCACGTTTCTGGGGAGCAAGATGACCGGAGAAAGCTGGGTGACGTGAAGCATTTTGCTGAAGCTCTGAGAAGCTCTGCTCTGCT